ATATGTTATATATATATATATATATACATATATATATATATATATATATATAAAATGAACAAAACCCCGTTGTTAAATTCTGTCTACACTGCCTGCCCTGACAAATCTCTGGCCCGAACGGCTGAGTCTAGGCCTCTCCCTCTGGCTCTGTCCCAAGCAGACAGAGAGGCACTGGAGACCCATCAGCAGTGAATGGAGATGTTCTCACCAAGGGTTTCAGAAAGATGGAGAGATAAGGAGAGAGGCGGTAACTGTCTCGTGGATCCAACAACTCTGCGAGTCTCCCAGAGGCCCAGCGTCAGCACACAGCAGGCAATGGTCTCTAGTGCTGTGTCTTCACAGCCCCTAAGACTAGCTCATGAGCCACACAGAAGTGTAAAACCCTTGGGTGTCTAGCCCCACAGCTTAGAACTCACTCTGTAGTTAAGGGAATGGGCCCTTTTCATTTCTAAGCATGGGAGGCTGTTGGGAGGATGAGAAAGAGGGCGCAGCCCAGGTGCGAGCACCACGCCCCGCCATCGCCTCCATCCTCCTCCTCCTCACGGCCACTGCGGTTTCCAGGGAGACAGCCGGCTTCTGCGGCGATCCAAGAGAAGATGGGCTATCACCACCTTGGAGCTGCAGGAGGAAGACCCAGGACCCTTTCCCAAACTTGTTGGGCAGGTAAGGCAGCTGCCGTAAGGAAAGGGCCCCGTCGCCCTCTCTGACTGAGCCCGCCCCTTTTGGCAGGAGGAGACAGTCTCGAAAGGCGGTGTGCCGTCGAGGCCAGGCGGTCAGGTGGTAGGAGGAGTGCTGGGCTGGGACTCAGGACGCCGGGGTTCTAGAACCCACCCTCCCTCTCCTTGAGGGTGAGTGTGAGCTGAGAAAGCCAGAATCCCGTGGCAACAGGTGGCTCATTCCAGCCTGCAGGCCTGTTTTATTTGGCCCATAGAAAGTCTTTGTTTTCCTTTAATAATTACTTAAAAATAATAAAGAGACTATGGTGACCAGAGGCTGGGGGTGGGGGCAAAAAGGAGGGCCAAAAGAATAAAATAAAGTGAAACAGTGGTGCCAGGGCTGGTGGCGAAGGGGTCACAGGGAATTATAGTGCAACGGGTACCGAGTTTCCGTTTTGCAAGATGACAAGAGTTCTGGAGATGGCTGGAGAGGATGGTTGCACCCCCACATGAACGTACTTAACACCACTGAACTGTACACCTAAAAGTGGTTGAGATGGTAAATTTTATGTTGTGTGTATTGTACCATGATTTTAAAAATTGGGAAAAATAGGGTGATTGTATTAAAAATCCCGCACTGCCAAAAGCTTTTTAACACCTGGGCGATCTGACTCCTTGGAGGGTCCATTCCCACATGGCGGTACTTAGATGGGCTTGCTCTCCCGGAAGGTCCCAGTCCCCGCCGCTCCCCGCCATCTTACTCACTCCAAGTCTCAGCTGATGCACCATAGAGGCCCCGAGGTGGTGCTGGAATGCCAGAGCTTTACAGTCAGCCCAGGTTGTTAGTTTCCATGATTTTCCAGATCTCCTTGGGTCTTTGAGGTATGTATTGGCTGATTAAGCCCCCCGCAGCTCTCACAGTCTATGGTTCCTAGAAAAAAATAATTCATATTTTCGAAGTGTTTATAAAAATAGTGTATGCCTACTGAAAAAAAAAATCTACAGACAGGTTTGAAGGCTCAGCGGCTAGCAGTGAATACTCCCAGGACTCGGGGGCGTCAGTGAGTTCGTATTCCAGACGTGCCGTGTCCTCGCTGTATAAACCGGACAGGTTTTTTGTCTCCTCATCTGTGCAACGGGGGCAGCGACAGTACCTACACTACAGGTTGTTTCAAAGATTCGACAAGGCAGGGACTCGTGGGCCGGCTCATTCTCAGCTCTCGGCGAATGCCGGCTCTGCGCACCCCCACCTCCCCGGAGGCGTGGTCGTACGGGGCAGGTTGTTCTGCTGGTTGCCTTTCTTGCTTTACAACGTGTCACGCCCCTCATCCTGGGTCAGCAGTACCTGTAAACCCTGAAAGGCTGCGGCCCCCCTGCCACGTGAGGGGGCACCACCAGGTCATTCTGTCCACGTGGATGGGCACTCATGTGGCTCCCAACTTTGCACGATTGCACACCACCCTGCTGCCATGTTCCTCGTTCCTGCATTTCACGTGTCTGTTTATTTCTTTGGGATAAATCCTCGCATCTGCAGTTGCTGGGTGTGGGTCTTTAAAAACGCCTTGGAATCTTAGCCTAGATATTCGATGTACGTAGTGTTTATTCTCATCCTCTTTTTTATCCCTGATTTTTTTCCTTCCAGCTGTTCAATAATGTACATGATGACACGGAATTAATGTACTTCATCAGTGGACCTGGTGTGGATGAACATCCAGAGATTGGCTTGTTTTCTATAGAAGATCACAAGAATGGAAAAATATATGTTCACCGCCCTATTGATCGAGAGAAAACACCATCTTTTATGGTACCTAAAATTTGATACATTCTAAGCTGGGATTTACCGTAAAGCACTTGTAGGAATCATGCATTGGGTAAGCACTGTTTAAGCAGCCTGTGTGCCGGGTTCTGGGAGAGCCACGCCTCATACACTGTGGCGTGCTTTAGAAGTGCACCCGGGGTATACAGGTTTCCTTTGTGATCTCCTTTTAGAGTTCTGGACTTTGGCTTTGTAATCATTTCCGCAATCTCTGTGACCCCTGCTACTACCAACCTTCCTTCTAAGGACCTGTACGCTGATATGATCAGGATACCTGAGAACATTTGGCTCTAGAGCTATTCAATGTTTATAAAACGGGCTGATTTTGGTTTTGGTGAGTCATAGTTGAAATTGATAACGAGAAGCTACAAAGAGACCTCATGGGTTGTGCAATAACTGACGAAGGAGGAACTACAGTCCTGCAGGAGGTGATGGTTTCCTCCTGGCAGTCTGGGCATCTGTCATGATTGTATCATGATTTTATCTGAGGAGGTCGGTCAGCCTTTGTTCTGGTTTGATGCCTCCCACTGACCTAATCCAGTGACCAGCATCCTCATAAGGGGAGGGAAATTTGGACCCAGAGAAAAGGACACAGAAGAGAAGGCCATGGGAAGCTGGAGACAGAATCGGAGTGATGGGTCTAAAAACCGAGAAACCCCAGTGATGGCGGACCCCACCAGACAGTAGGAGAGAGGCCTGGAACAGATTCCCTCTCAGGGACACACAGGAACCAGCCCGACAGACACCCTAATTTTGGCTCTGGCCTCCAGAACGGGGAGAGAACAGACTTTTGTGGTAGGCACCCCGTTTGTTCCAGCAGCCATAGCGACCTCACCCACAGGGGTCAGCACACGAGTTAGGAGGACGCGAAGCAGGCTGATGGGGTCTCCCGGCAGGAGACGAGGGGTCAGCAGAGTGCCCTGGGGACACACAGCGGCCCTGCTGACGCAACCACCCGCTTCTGCAGAAGGACGCTGACGACTGCTTCCTGGCTGTCTGTGAGGACAGGACGTTTTTACAAATTAAGTAAACCTAACGTACTGGCAAACATACACGTCTAGTATGACTGCTTTACTCTTGAGGGTAACAAAGGAGTCCCTAAAACTGGATAAAACATTAAAATCTTGTGTTTGGAAGGTGGCTGGGTGGGGTAGCGTGGCTAATTTCCTGTTAATCCCATAAACCTACAAGGTAGCAGTAGCGCCTGCTGGAGAGCTGCTGTAAGATTTAAGACAGAGCTGGAGAGGGAAAAAGTCTGACTTTTTTCTGTGCAGGAATCTTATCTGTTTATATCAAAATATGCTCAATTTCATAGGATACAAATGCACCCAAGAAAACCATCTTTTTCTTCGTAATAATTATCTGTTGGTCTTTATCCCAACACAGTCTTCTTTACCTACTTACATATAACCTATGCATGTAAGTGACTTTGCATTGTGTGTTTGGGATTTAGGATTTTCCACATGCTCATTTGTATCTAAGAGTATATAGATCTTGTGCACGTAATTTCAAACAGACATATGCCAATCCATCATGTCAATGCACTGTGGTGTGTTTATCCAAGGATATAAATCTCAGGACTGTAACAAAAGGCTGAGAACCCTTTACAAGAGCAGAAAATACCCATGACATTTCCTTTCTCCATTGTGATTCTGAGTCTCCCAGAAATTCTCAGCTTCTTGCCAAAGAATAAATAGCACTTATGCCTCCCAGGCATCTTACAGAACTAAAGGTCTCAGATACAGCTTTTAGGATAACAAATGGAATATAAAATAATAAACATAAAACAAACATGTGGGTCTTGTTTTTAAGTGGAAGGATTACAGCTGGCTCGGTTTTAGAGCCAGAAGTGGGGGTGATGAAGGAGCAGGGAGCGGCTGGCACGGTCATAAATTATGGAGGAGCGTGTAGAAATGGTGCCTGAGAAAGCCAATTTGCTTGCACAAAAATTTTAAAATGTATGTTGGAGTCCCCGAATCAGACAGGTTCAGTACTAGTAGCCCTGCGGCATCCTTGGTCTTGTAGGCAGAGAGAAGAGAGCTGAACAGGAATTGACCGTCTTACGATGCCCAGTGGGACCACCGTGGCGGATGCCAGTGAGTGAGCCGTAAGTCTGCTGGGAAAGAGGCCCAAGGAGGCAGGCACAGCGAAGCAGAGGCAACCATGTGGGCTCTGAGGAAAACGGGGGGAGAGGTGGCTGTCTGAAGCTCTCAAGGTCCCAAGACAATGCTGCCTCTCCCCTTAAAACCTTGGTCTTAAGAGCTGCTCACTAGTGCGGACACAGTCTCATAGAAACAGCTCCCAGAAGAAGCTGCTCTCTGAGCATTCTCAGACGTGGACTTAAGATTGTTGCCCTCGCTTACGTTTATGTATCTAATATTTTGTGTATCCTTATAGCTTCACATAATCATTTGCAAAAAATATGGTCATGGCGGGGTATCACTGGCTTTCAAGGAGACAAAACCACCCGAGGTTTCCCACTGGCATCTCAGCTTGCGTTGCACACATGCACGCACAGCGATGCAGCATCTGCTCAGAGCAGAGCGAGGGCAGCAGCTCTGCAGCAGCGATCACGTGCGGAACGCTCGTTCTCTCAAGGTGCTCCAGTCTGGCTACGTCTTCAGCAGTCTCGGGGGTGCGCTTCTCTCCTGCAAGCAGCCATTAGCCAGTGCTAGGTGGTGCTGTTATTTGCGAAAAACGGAGTCAAGGCTTTCGTTGTAGTCCAGGCAGCCTTTTTGTTTGTTTTCACATGCAATAACTGTTTTGTATAAGTAGGTGAGGGTGCATTTCCTGAATCTCTTGGAGGCATGTTTTGGCTGAAGCAGAGTGATGAACACAGCCCCCTGTGTTTCTGGCTTTGGGAGTCACTCTGTCATGGTGTACAAGCGACGGATGTAAACAAAGCCTGTGCAATTATGATTCCCCAAGCAGCAGAGCCTGCGCCATGTTTGTTCCTTTGTCAATGGCAAATGCATGGCTTACTTCCTTTCTGCTTTTTCACTCCGTAAATATTTCTTCAGTCTGATCCACTGTGAGGTAAATTTTGCAAGACTCAGAAATCTCCCAGCAAGCTAGCAAAGCAGACACTTACACCACCACACATCAGACTTAGAAAGACTTCTGGTTATTTCTTCATGCTCAAGCCTCTGATGTACAAAATAAAAGAACTGCACATTTATTTGTATCACCAAGCATTTCGTATAAGCAGAATATAACTCAGGAAACAAGGTTTTTTAGTAACATTGCTTTCAGCAAGGAATTTGACACCCAGGAGTCATAGCTTGGGCAAATCTCAAAAATCGCTTATTGCCAAATACAAATGTGGTTGGGTGTCCGTAAATAATCATTTCACAAGCTTTTATTTACCCTTTTGCCTCTAGAGAATCAAACATGTTTATAAAATCTGGGCTTGATGTCTGAATAATGAGAAAACACATTTTTGATTTACTTGTTTTCACTACCATTCATTTCAAAATATTTTCTGACTTCTATTGTGATTTCTTCTTTGACCCATAAGTTATTTAGAAGTGTTTTGCTTAACTCTCAGACATTTGGGGTTGTAAATTATCTTTCTTGATGATTTCTAGCTCAGTATACTCTCTGTGGTTGTAATTTTTTGAAATTTGTCAAGACTTGCTTTATATCCTAGCATGTAATAAATTTTGGTAAATGGTCAATGTGCTCTTGAAATGAATGCGTACACTGCAGTGTTGGGTATAATATTCTATTTATGGCAAAAACTGCATCAAATCAGTTAATTATGTTGTTTAAATATTTGATATCCTTTCTGATTACCTGTTTTTGTTTATCTGCTTGTTTTAACAGTTTCTGAGAGAGGTGCATTCAAATCTCTGCTTCCCATTTTAGTTTTGTGAATCTGAGCTTTATATACTTTGAGGCTATGTTATCAAGTGCATGCAAATGTAGAGTTCCTATTTCACATCTTCCTCATAGATTGAGACTTTTACGGCTTTTAAATGTCCCTATTTATGACTAGTAAGATTTCTTGCCTTAAATTTTGGTATTTGGAGGTAGATGCCTAGATGAGCCTCTTTTGGTCAGTCTTTGAAAAATCATTCTGTCTATCAGTCTACCAATCGATCTATTTATCTTCAAAGACTAGCCTAAAGAAGATAATACATGGAGAAGCTCATATACAGGTAGGAGATATATATATGTATCTCCTCTTTCAACTCTCACATTCTTACATTTAAGGTATATTGCCTTGTAAGCAGCTCAGTTATGTTTCGTCTCATTTTGTTTTTAAGTAGAAAATAGAGTATGTTACATTTACTATACCAAGCTACGGAACAGTTTCATCACCCCTAATATTTCTTTATGCTTTTCCTTTATCATCAAACCCTCCCCTAACCCTTAGACCCTGGAAACACTGGTCTGTTCCTGCATTTTTACTTTGTTCAGAATGTCATATAAACGGAACCACACAGAATGTTACTTTTTAAGTCTGGGTTTTTCACTTAACATAATGCATCTGATATCCATCCATGCTGTGGGCATGCAGAAATAGCTTGTTTTTTTTAACCACTGAGTAAGAATTCCATTTGACAGATGCCCCACAATTTACCAACTCATCAGTTGAGGGACACGAGTTCTTTCTGATTTTTGGCAATCACAAAGCTGCTAAAAGCATACAGAGTTTTATGTGAACGTAAGTTTTTACTTTTTGAGGGGTAAATACCTAGGACTGGGCTTGTTGGATCACATGCTTAACTTGATCAGAAACTCCTGTTTTCCAGAGTGACAACTATTTTTCATTCTCACTAGCAATATACAAGAATTCCGACCACTCTGCACCTTTGTCCAGTTTTTCATGTTAGCCATTCAAATAGGTGCGTAGCAGTATCTCACTGGGGTTTTACTTTGAATTTCCCTAATGACAAGTGATGCATTATTTGCCATCTGCATAGCTTCTTTGGAGAAACGTCTGTTCAACTCCTCTGCCTGTTTTTAACATTTGAAAATCAATTTTAGCAAAGTCACAGGAAATAAAGTTACTCTATAAAAGTTAGTATCAGCTATGAATAATTGGAAATAAGTATTTTAAAAGCAACATCGTTTACAGTATCACCAAACAAATGAAGTGCTTAGGTATAAATTTAAAATATTTAGGTATAAATCTAAAATACGTGCAGGATACGTTTACTAAAAACTTTTATGAAACACTGATGAAAGAAATCAAAGTTGACTTGGTTGAATGAAAAGATGTGCTGTGTTTATGGATTGAAAGACTGACTATTAAGATGATAATTCTCCCCAAATTTATCTATAAAGTCAGTGCAAGACTACTTAAAAGATCAGCAGGATGTTTTTACAGAAATCAGTAAGCTGGCCCCAAGATGTGCATGGGAGGGCGAGCCACCTTTTGGTTTCATTGACCTTATTGGTTTTGCTATTTTAAATTTTACTGATCCGTGCTTTTATTTTTATTACTTCCTTCTTTCTGTTTGAGTTTAATTTGCTCCTTTTTTTCACTTTCCTAAGAAACTAATGATAGAAGCTTTAATTATTGATTTGAGATCTTTTCAAAGGGAAGAATTCTCACATGCATGTTTGAGATAAATTCACCTTCCTTATTCAAGTACACAAGAAACAGCAGTGGCCATTTAAGAACGCACTGTATGTTAACAGCAGTCCTAGTTACTTTAAATGTTCACTTTCTCAAAACTTTAAAGCGTCTGCTCTCTGCGATATTTTACCAATATTTATTAGTGTACTCGTTTCTCATCACAGGACTGACAGGATGTAGGAACTGAGGCTTGTAACAAATGGCCTATGTTGATGCAGGTAGAGAAGCTGAGACTTGAACCTAATAAAAATGAATGAAGTATTTTTCAAGTCAGAGCATTGATTTTTTTCTATAAATGAGTGTTGAGAACTGATCTGTGCCAGCACTGTGCTCAAGGCCTGGGGTCACAAGGTGAATGAGAGCATGTCACCCCTACCCTCAGGAGCTGTCAGTCTACGGAGGAGACAGATGCAGGACACAATTACAGCATGGTTATTGGATTAGTGTCATCAGATAAGTGGTTCTGCAACATTAACATGGCTCTCTGCTCCCTAGATTTGCTGTGATGTTGCGAACCGCTTCACGGGAAAAATTGTGGATAAATCCTTGATTGTCAACATCAGGGTCAGAGATGTGAATGATCACGCACCCCAGTTCCCTGAGAAGGAATTTAACATCAGCGTGAAGGAGAACCACGATGCAGGTGTGTGCGGCGGGGCCACTCTGTCCCATGAAGGTTTTCCTGCCTCTGTTCTGACAGGGCCCTTGGTCCCAGCTGTCTTCAGGGAGATACTCCACGGTTCACATCCCAAAAACCCCAGGCCCTGGATTAGAGCAAAATGCTTTGAGGTCTGCAAGCCTCATTTTGTATTGGCAATTAAATGATGTGGAAATTGCCAGTTGGAAGAGCTGATACGTGAATATCAATATAACATAAAGCCAAATGAATGAGGGGAGGAGCAGAGGCGGATGGTGGGATCTTGAATATCTCTGAATTTCTCATCTGTAAAATGGTAGCAAGATGGCTGAGCCACGATTCTGTGAGTCTTTAACACGAACCATCCTTACTAAAATGTGCATCTATTTTAATAACAAAAAGCATTATTTATTTTGCAAAACAGTCTCTAGGAAATTTGGAAAATTTCAAGACACAAAAAGACTGAAATAGATAGCATCTCTAACACTACCAATTAGAGACAAGTACCATTAATGTTTTAGTTTATATTCTTTCAGTATTTTTCTTTGCATTTGTATATGTGTATATACACATGGTATGTTGTATTTATATATGCGTACATATGCACAGATTTATACACATAATTACAAATGTGTATTCCCATATCTACATACTTTGTTCATCTTTATCACAGTACAAAATGTATATGTGTATATTAAATATTTATAAATACACGGGCATTTTTTCACATGTGCATATGTGTGACTTTTCTCTTTAAAAAATGCCATTTTACAGTTTGTGACCTAACAGTGTCCTCCTGCAGTACCCTGTTGTGTCATACTTTATTTTACAGATGTGCTTGAAGATTTTTAAACAATTTCCTCTCATCGGAAATTTATGTTTCACTGTTACTTTTTGTTGATTTTATAAAACATGCTTCAGTGAATATATCTGAGCGAGGTCTGTGTCCCATTTGAGCATTATTTACTTAGCACAAATCCAGACACTGAGAACTGCTGGCTCAGACTGCACACAATGTAAGTGTTGCAACTTAATCGGTCTCCCGGAAGCATATGACAGGGCTTACTGCATTGTTCATCTCTGATTACTAAGTGCTTGAACACGAGACGGTCTTTTTGGCCCTTTCGGTTTCTTTTATCAGTCCCTTGTTCTTTTCTTCGCTCATTTCTGCTAGTGTGATGATCATTTTTCTTGATTTTAACCTCTTCCTTTTCTTTTTAGAAACATGTTCATTTATATTAATGATCACAAGAAACAAATACGTAAACACAAAAACATAAAAAGCTCAATGATCAAGGAGATATAAAAATCCTTAATTTGTATGCATCTAGTAAAATAGCCTCAAACACACATAATGTAAAAATTGACAGAACTGCAAAAATTGATGAAATATCATAATGAAACTTTTGGTATACATTTCTTAATGTATAAGAAAAGAATAAATGTAGGTAAGTTTTAAACAACACAACTAAAAATCCTGATCTAAAGGACATACGTAGAACCCCACATTCAACTGCTAAAGAATATATTCTTCTAATGTCATGTGGAACATTTATAAAAATTGACCATATACTGATCCATAAAACAAGTTTCAAAACATTTCAAATAGCTAATGTTATACAGACCATATTCTCTTACTATATGTAGTTGATTTAGGAGTCAATAACAAAAAGTTTTCAAATGTTTGGAAGTTACCGAAAACTTTTGTGAATAAATTAAAGAAGTAATCATAATGGACATTTAAAAAATACTTAGAAGTGAAAGCTGACAACACTACATGTATTTTGGTAGTATATTACAGAAATCAATACTATCAGTATTAAGATGAAAATTTTCAGTCTTAAAATGTTTATATTATAGAAGAAGAAAAGTTTAAAATTAATGAGCAAAAAAAAATGAGAAAGACAATAGCATATTAAAAAAAAGTAGGAGAATGGATACATATATAGTAGATTATCAAAGCCTAAGTTGATTATTAGAAAAATGTTAATAAAAAGGATAAACTTCGAACAGATTGACCAAGAAAAAGAAAGAGAAGGCATAAACTAACAATATAAAGAATGAAAAAGCTGTAACTGTAGACAGAGCAGAGATTTAAAATGTAATAAAATAGTATTTATAATATAAATTATATTATTATATTAATTATAATAAAATACAAATAAATATACATGATATAATAGAAATAAAATATCAAAATAATATTTATTTAATACTATATAAGTATTTAATATTATTTGATGCTATATAAACAATATTTAATTATTATTAATATTGAATACTTAATCCATCTGGTGTATGCCCCAGCGCCATTGAGCAAAGACCCTTCCTCCTCCTGGTTTGATAGGCTGCCTTGGACAAACAGTAACAATAATAAAAATTCTTTCCAGGTCAACCTATTTTTCAGATGTTGGCCGTGGATCTGGATGAAGAAAACACCCCAAATTCTCAAGTCCTTTACTCCCTGGCTTCTCAAACGCCGGCACCGAGAGAGCGCGGCTTCCGGATTGACCGCCTTAGCGGAGAAATACGGCTGTCAGGATGCTTAGATTACGAGGTTACGTGCCTTTTACTGTTTCGAAAAAACAGTGAAACGGGTTTGTTCTCTCTCTGAGCCCCAGACTTAGGGTTTACGTTCGCAGCCAGAAACCCCCTGGGGCCGGACGGGCTACTGACCTGGCTGAAATGTCCGAGCGCGTCCCTGTCCCGCGTTTCAGGGCCTGACCCTCCCCCTCCCCCCCCCCAGACCGCGCCCCGGTTCACGCTGCTCATCGGAGCGAGGGACCACGGGGACCCGCCGCTGTCGGCCTCGGCCACGGTGCACGTGCTCGTGCGGGACAGCAACACCCACGCGCCCGCCTTCGCCCCGGACAGCGTAAGGCGCCCGCGCGGCCTCGGGTCCCACGTCCCGGGCGGGGTTTTGCTGTAGGAATCCCCCGTTTCGCCCAGCTACACGCCGGGCCCCAGAATGAACTAGAACCAAGAAGTCAGCCACGTCGGTAGCTCACACCTCTTCCACCTTGTGCGGGAATCTGCCCTCCGTGCGTTCACACGCGGGCTTTGGTTCTTGATTGTTGGAGCTGCCATGGCTCCCATTTTGCAGATGAGCATGCTGACGCACGGGGAAAATAGAGGTCCCGTTCTCTCTGTCAGAGTTTGCCAGCGTCCACTCTGTTGGCACTGGGGATGCAGGAAGGGGTGGGTAGGGTAGGGGGAGGCTGCCCAGTGAACTGAAGGATGGGGAGCAGCACCCTTGACCTCTACCCACTAGATGCCAGTAGTGCCTCCAGTTGTGACACCCAGAAGTGTCTGCAGACCCTGTGCAGGATTGGCCCCGGGTGAGAAGTATGCGCCAGAGGTTCACACACAATGTTCAGAGCTCTGGAAAAGAAAAAATGAGTGGGCGGGCTGTGGCCTGGCCTTTCCCAGCTCACCTGCCTTACATGCTGGGGTTTCACACAGAATCTCCTGTGCCACTGGATTCACAGGCTTGAAGGAGGCATTGACACCTGCTGTTCCAATCAGTCTGGAAATATCCAACCACTTAAAATGCAAAAGATGGCCAGGAAGGAAAATAAAACCACTCAGGGTCTGCTTTCAGTTTCTTAGTTTTTCACTCTTCTGCATGAATTTTTAAAAGGAAAATGTCTGTTGTATTTCTGTCTTCCCCCGACCCCTCTCAGGGGGGCCTTTCCTAATGACCTAGTTAAATCCCCAACCCGACCCCCCACCCCTCACCCCCTCAGTCCTCAGCTCCCTGGTGATGGGATTACAGCCAACTTGTTCACAGCCTCTAAACCAGAATCTGGTATATCGTAGCCTTTGCTGAATAATTAAATGCTACAAACCATTATTTTTTTAAAGTGTCATTAAGAAAAATTTAATTATATAGACCAAAGTAGAAATGTTTTCAAAGAAAGCTTCTCACCAAACAGTATGCAATAACTGAAACATGTTTATTATGTTTCAGCCTTGTATCCAAATCCTTCTCTGGCTCAGTAAAAAGCTGTGCTCTCAAAAGTAGGGCTGCAAAAACTGTATGCTGTTACTGTGATGTGCTCATCTAGAGAAATTATCCTGTCACCAAATACATTGAATAAGAAGCGATTTTGAAGGTCTATATGTGTTAGAAAAATTATTGCCTTAGTCAAAATAACCTTAAGAACACTATTTCAGGGAGTTAGATTTTTTTTTAGGCAGCATAAACTAAGATGTGTATTATTATTTTTAAAATTCTTTAAAAAAAATGCATTGCATTGGATTAAAGGGTATTTTTATAGTTATTTAGCTATTCAGTTATGCAGACCCCAAGTCATGGTGGGGAAGGGACAAGATGCTTGTTACAGACGGTCTGCTGTAACAGGCACATTTCAGATCCTGAGTGGTCAAGTTCAATCACAAGAGAAATACCCAGGTGGCTGTGTTAAAGGCGTATGTTTACTCTCTCTCTTTCTCTCTCTCTCTGGCTCTCTCTTGTTCTCTTTCTTTTTCAATTGTGCTTCTTTTTCTCTGACATGGAAATGATTGCCTCTCAGTATAACATTCAGATTTCTGAAGGCCAAGTCAGCCAGGGCGTGTTACGTCTCCGGGTCCAAGATGGTGATTCTCCATTTACGTCCGCGTGGAAAGTGAAATTCAATATATCGAAGGGCAATGAAGAAGGACACTTTGACATTCTGACTGACCCCGAGACCAATGAAGGGATTTTAAATGTTATCAAGGTAAAGCTGTCATGGAAAGCACGCCAGCCAGGTGGCTGGATGTGCTGTGGCCCCTTTCTGTAGGATTCCTGACAAGGAACTAGGAGGAGCCCTGGCAGTGAAGGTGAGTGCGTTCTGAGCACATCGCACGCTGTGTCACCGGGCCCCATGGAGTCCAGTGAGGAAGGCAGGGCTTCCTGGCGACTTCTGCCGTGGTCCCTCTGCCCTACTGCCTACATGGCTCCTCCCACCAAAATAATACATACCAATGTTAACTGTTATTTTTTATGACTGTAAGTAGTTCAGTTCAAATTTGTTTTTTGCTTTAGACAAAATTTAACAGACTTACATAGTCCCTAACATGTTTTTTTTTCTGATGTTAGAAAAATATTTAAAACATTTTCTCTCACCCTGAGTTCATTTTTTTCCTTCTGAGTTTGAAAGCAATTAGAACATTTGCATGGGCCCCTAAAAGTATCGTGGGATCCTGGCAATTTTCTGCTGTGCCTAATGGAGAGTTGGCCCTGCAGTAAAGTATTATCTCATTTACTGTTAAGGAAACCAAAGCCCAGAGAGGTTGGGTAATTTTCACAAAGTCACACAGCCCGAGTAGGGGTTCTGACTGGGGCAGTTTGACTTCAGTGCCTTTAGTTTGGCTTTTTTTTAATTGAAGTACAGTGCCTTGGGTTTTAATTGCTCTCAGTAGACCCTAGAATGACCAGTGCCTCTGGTGCAGTGCAGGTGAGTCAACCTGGAGATCAGGTTCAAAGGCAGATCTGAGTTAGTAGGTATGGGGTGGGGCCCAGGTTTCTGCCTCTAAGTGTAACAAGCTCCCAGCTGATGCTGATGGGCGGGGCTGCACTGTGAGTAGCTGGACTCGGGGGATGCTCTATACCAGATGCCTGGCGCTGAATTTCCCAAACATTCCTAGTCTTTCAGTCACTTTTAAGTCACTGACCACTTTGTATCCTGAATAACTATGATCATTAATATCTCTATTTCCTTAAGCTCTCCTGATTTTTTGGCGGCAGAGTTGTCACATTAATGTTTCATTGGGTTATGGTTTTTGTTGCATTTTTCATTACCCTCTGAAGGATGGTGGCTCTTTTCAACCAGGGGAGGGGGAGGAAAAAAGAAAACTCCATAAGTGATTTGAAAATGGGCTGACGACTGTCTTTTGATCATTATCAAAGGCCATGTAAATAACAAATGAAGTGCGGAAGCCGCAGGCTGTGGGTCTGCAGTGATGACTCGCGCTGCGCGGGCTTCCTCGGCCCCCGAGCCGCAGGCGCTAACGCAATCCTCTCTCCGCGGTGGCAGCCTTTGGACTATGAGACTCACCCCGCATGGAGCCTGGTCGTGGCCGCGGAGAACGAGGAGCCGCTCTTCTCCTGTGAGGCTGGGCGCCTGCAGAAGCCCAGGAGGGCAGTGGCCAGCGCCACCGTGAGTGTGCAGGTGACCAACACAAACGACCCGCCCGCCTTCCACCCCGCCACCTTCATCGTCAGTGTGGCCGATGGCGCTGGGCCAGGGATTCAGCTGGAAATTTTTAATGCTACGGATCCAGACAGAACTGCCAGCCAGATAAGGTGGGAAGACCGGAGCGGGAAGGGTGGTGGTTTACGTAGAATTAGCCACGTGCCCAAGAGGACTCCTGTTGGAAACCAGCTCCTTCCACGTGCACATAGGGGCGATGCTGTCCCAGTTGTGAAAATACCAGAAGCCACCCCAGGACACCCCCTGCCCAGGTTCACTGCTGCCTTCCTCTGTAGCGTCCTCGGAGCCCCGCAGGTGGGATTCTCGCGTCCATTTCCTTTGCACCTAGCACAGGTTCCTTTACAGTATTTCTGTTGTATCGAAATAATTTGCTCTGTATTTCTATTTCCTCTTTACCGAAGGTTGTAAACTGGCAGCCCTCTGGCTTCTGGGCAACAGACACATTTTCAGTTGTGGTAAAACATTCATAAAGTGTGTCACTGTAACCATTTTCAAGTGTGTAGTTCAGTGGCATTAAGTCCATTCATGTTGTCCTTCACACCGCGCCATCATCACCATCTGTCTGCAGGACTCTTTTCATCTTCCCAAACTGAAATTCTGCACCCCGTAAGTAACCCCCCGTACCCCCAGCCCCAGGACCTGGCGTCACCATTCTAGTTTCTGTCTCCATGGATGTGACTTCATGTAAATGGGATCGTGCAGTATTTGTCCTTCTGTGTGTTCCACCTAGCATAATGTCCTCAAGTTTCATCCATGCTATGGCATGTGTCAGGATTTTCTTCCTTTTAAAGCCGAATGACATTCCATTGTATGTACACACCACATTTTGTTTATCTGTTCATCTGCTGGTGAACACGTGGGTTGCTTAGTGTTTTGATTGGAAAATGAAGTTGCCACAATCCCCAGGAAGGTGGCAGAGGGAGGAGCACCAGGAATCTGTTTCTCCATCTGGACAACAATTGTACCTGCAGAATCTGTCTGATGTATCCATGTCGGAACTCAGGAATCTGTTGAAGGCTTGTGACTTCCAGGGGAAGACTTGGACTGTAAGCTGTGGTTAATTTCAGTCAACTTCAGCTCTCAACACGGTAACAGTTACCCTTCCCACCTCCAGCCTCATGGAAGGCAGCTGTGCACCCGTTCCTGGAGCAGTGTGCACACAGCTTGTGGGAGCCAGGGTGGGCAAAAAAGTAACAGATGCTAATTCCCTCCTTATCAGTCATTAAATGTATAAAGTTTAAACTCTCCAATCAAAAGACAGAGACTGGCAGAATGGATCAAAACCCATGATCTGACTATATGTTGTCTTCAAGAGACTTTGAGATCTGAAGACACAAACAGGTTGCCTAACATCATACACAAAAAGTTAACTTGAAATGGATCAAGGACCTCAGTGTAATGCCTAAAATAATAGAGCTCTTAGAAGAAAACATAGGACAGAAACTTCACCACTGAATGTGGCAATGGTTTCTTGGATATGACACCAATAGCACAAATAACAAAAGAAAAATAGTCAAATTGGACTTCATGAAAATTGAAACATTTTGTGCATCATAAGACACTATCCACAGAGTACAAAGGCAACCCACAGAATGGGAGAAAATGTTTGCAAATCATGTATCTGGTAAGGAATTAATATCCAGAATATAGAGAGGACTTCTCAAAGTCAACAAGAACAAAAACAACAACAAAAAAAACCTGATTCAAAAATGGACAAAGAACTTGAATAGACATTTCTCCAAAGAAGATACATATGTGGCCAAAAAACACATGAAAAATGCTCAGCATCACTAATCATCAGGGAAACACAAGTCAGAACCACAGTGAGACACCACTTCATGCCTAGGAGGATGACTACTCTCAAAAAACCAGAAAACAAGTTGTAGGGAGAATGTGGAAAAATTGGTGCCCTTGTGCACTGCTGGTGGGAATGTAAAATGGTGCAGCCTCTGCAGAAAACAGTATGATAGTCCCCTCACCCCAGAATTAAAAATTGAATTACCATATGACCCAGCAATCCCACTTCTGGGTATATATCCAAAGGAACTGAAAACTGGGTCCCAAAGAGGTGTTTGTACACTCATGTTCATAGCAGCATTATTCACAGTAGCTAAAATGTGGAAGCAACCCAAAGTCCACTGCTGGATGAAGCAATAAGCGAAATGTGGTCTCTACATACAGTGGAATATTACTCAGCCTTAAAAAGGGAGGGAATGCCACAATATGCTACAACATGGATAAACTCTGAGCACATGATGCTACATGAAATATTCCAGTCACAGAAAGACAGATTCTGTATGATTCCACTTATAGGAGGTACTCAGAGTAGTCAAAAATCGTAACGACAGAAAATCTAATGATCTTTTCTAGGGGCTGGAGGTGGAGGAGGTGGGGAGTTATTGGTTAATAGGTGTAGCGCTTCAGTTTTACAAGATGATATGAGCCAGGGGGGTGGATGGTTGCACAGCAGTGTGGCTGTATTTAATACCACCAAACCACACACTTAAAAATGGTTAAGGTGGTAAATTTTACATTATATGTATTTTACTACAATAACAAAGAAAAAAATTAAGCTGCCAGCATTTAAAAATCAAGAGATTATGCTAACCACCTGAATTGTCTGGATATTCTTGAAAAACAGGAAGATCTTGCATCCCAGGGTCAGTGTCCCATGGGGCCACGACCACCTGGGCAGAGCGAGGGTCCATCATGCCCCTTTGACCTCTCACTGTCGCTCAGTGGTTGGCCCAGTCCCCGTCAGGCCAGCTTCGCTCATTTCTGGCACCTGCTTGGCCCCCCCACGGACACTTGAGTTTGAGGTTCTTCCTTAGAGCAATGCTTCTCAGCCTAGCCATCGGGAAGGACCAGGGTTTGCTTCTAACTTCCAATTCACTGTGATTATTTTACAAAATATTTAAAAAATAAACTTTAAAAAATGATTATGTTGTGAGGGCCGGGGAATCACCATAATGCCACTGACCATAAAGCTGCCCAACACTTGGTCTCAATTTATGCTGTAATCTCACCGTGGGCGGGGAACCGCCAGCCCCAGCCCAGCCCAGCCCAGGGCCGCACACGGGCGCGTGGGGCGAAGAGGCTGTAAGCAGTGGCCGGCCACCTGTGCCTGAATCAGAATCACCTGGAGGGCTTGCTCCACTGCAGGTGACTCGGCCTCACCCTGGGCTTCTGATTTTGAGGCCTGGGGTGAGGACTGAGATTTGCATTTCTAACAAATTCCAAGGTGATGCTGGTGCGGCTGGGCTGGGACCTCGCTCTGAGAACCACCCGCGTGGAGCCGGGTTGTGCTCCTGTCCCCGGAGGGTGGTTGGTCCCTCTAAAAACCGAGTGGAGAATCTGAGAAGACAAAGCCTTTACACAGTGAGGGAGGGGAGGCACGGGAA